TAGGACCTAGCAGTTGAATAGGCAAGAAGCCATGTCTCATTGGAGCAAAATTTGGGAGCGCATACCATAGGAGGGGCCAGTCCCCAGGGCAGAGGGGACGGGAAGAACTCTATCTGTAGACGCAGACAGCTGAGTTCAGACCCCATTCCACCACTGATAGCTTGGGGGATACACTTCACCTCTCTGTGTTGTAATTTTTTCACCTGTAAAATAGGGAGAGTATGACCAACTTCCTAGGCTTGCCATGAGAAGTAGATGAAATGATGGATATAGAGGACCAGTACACACACGTGTGCACATGCACATGCACACGCATACACACACACACACAGTAGTTATTGTCAGTGTGGTCCCAGTTGGAGCCACGGCGCTGTGTTTAGATCTCCGATGACATTTAAAGAAGCTCATAGGCTTTCTGACAAAATCGCCTGGGTTATTCGGGGCAGAGCCCAGCTGCCGAGGGCAAAGGTTGCTCCTCAGAAACAAGCAGGAGGGGGTGTCATTTGCCCAGCCACAGGCACAGGCTGCGTTGCCGGCTGCAATCCTGAGGTCGGGCTGGGGCTCAGGCATGGTGGCCATGTGGCCGTGTGACTGTGGGGTGAGTGGCTCCCTCCCTGCTCACTGCAAGCTCACCTCCAACACAGCTCACAGCACCAGGGAGGCCGGGACAGCCCTTACCTCTGCAGAGGCTGCAGGTTTCTCCCGTCCCAGAATAATCTCACTTCTGGTAAATTTTACTAACTGCAGACTTGTCTTTGCATTTGAGGTCTGTGTACGTTTCAAGTGGTTCCTTGCACTCATACCATTTTTTTTAAAGTAATGAGCTGTTTTCTTTTTTCCCTGTAAACACGAGGCCAACATCAGAGAACAGTTTTTGATCTCCGTTCTGAAAACAGACAGGGTTGTTTAGAGATGATGGGGATCCCAGGCAAGGGGCTGGTGCGCTTTCCCTCAGTGTCACTGAAAAGAATTTCTTCAGTGAGCCCACATTTCAGGGGCAAGACACACTCTGGATTATCGGAAGTTTAGAAACACTTAGGTGATTATGGTAAATAATTCACACAAATCCTGACGAATGCAGTATTCTTTTGTGCAAACTCGGAAGAGCAGAAACCTGCAGCGCTTTCCTCTCTTGGCTTCCCATCCTTCGAGTGACATCTAGTGGACGATCTCTGATAAACACAGGACTAGTTTTTAAGGTGTTCCTTTTTCAGGGCGAAGGAAATGCCATTTACCTAGAAACCACTTATACCTCTGTTCCATCTGTTTCAGTCTCTGAGTTGAAAACTGCACCGAGGCCAAATGGCCTCTCTTTGCTGCTGATTAGCGTGCCATCTTGGGCCCTGACATGGTGGTCAGCATTTCTGTGTTTAAATCTGGTTATCACTTATTAGCAGTGTGATCACAAGGTACTCAATCTCTCCCAGTCTGTGTTCTCAGCTGTAAAATGGCTTTAACAAAAGGACCCGCCCTACAGGATTGTCACAAGGACAGAATGAATGATACCTGTAAGACACTCAACACAGTGCCTGACACAGTCAATAACCAGCTCCTAGGGGCCACAGCGTCCACATCACAGACTTCACCTGCACAGGCCCTACTCTTGGGTGAAAGGCTACTCAGGCAGACGTGTGCGGATATTACTGATGGAATGATATCATTTTAAGATGCATCTTCTTTTTTTCTTATTATTTTTAAATTTTTGTTTTATTTTGGACAATAGTCAACTAACAATGTTAGGTTTCAGGTGTACGGCAAACTGATTCAGTTATACATGTATTTATTCTTTTTCAGATTATTTTCCCATTTAGGTTATTAGAGCATACTGAACAGTTCCCTGTGCTATATAGTAGGTCTTTCTTGATTATTTTATATATGGTAGTGTGTATATGTTAATCCCAAGATGCATCTTTAAAAAAAAAACTTTCTTTTTGCCAAAATATAATGAGTAAGTAGGAATATGTAATCTAGACATAGTAAAGATCTTGGGGAAAAAATATAAGTCTTAATAACACCTTATGTTTAGGAAAATTTCAAAAAATCAGGTTTGAGTGAGAAGGGTTGTAGTTGCTCTTTCATTGAAAAGGCTGGTTGTGTGATGGCTTAGGAATTCTATTTTTATTTCCTTAGGCACAGTTTAGAAAGGAAAAACAATCCTTTACATCCATCCAAGATATGCAGTGTGCTATATATTTCCTCCTGGGTAAAGTCTGCTTTAGAATCAGGCACGTTTCTTTTTTAAAGTGACGAAAGCAGTCTTCTGTGCCTTTTAGGCAAATTTAGATTAAGGTGAATGTACCTTCTGAAGCACAGAGTTTCTGCATTTTGCTAACAAGTTGAGATAGCCAGAGTTTCGCTACTCTAGTGTGGTAGGGCGGAGAAGGCAATGGCACCCCACTCCAGTACTCTTGCCTGGAAAATCCCATGGATGGAGCCTGGTAGGCTGCAGTCCATGGGGTCACTGAGAGTCAGACACGACTAAGCGACTTCACTTCCGCTTTTCACTTTCATGCATTGGAGAAAGAAATGGCAACCCACTCCAGTGTTCTTGCCTGAGAATCCCAGGGACGGGGGAGTCTGGTGGGCTGCCGTGTATGGGGTCGCACAGAGTCGGTCACGACTGAAGCGACTTAGCAGCAGCAGCAGCGTGGTAGGGATCATCCCTAAACACCCACAGCTGCAGGCAGGCGTGTAAAAGCTGGCAGCATGATGAGGGCCTCGGTGACAGCACCTTCCTTGCCTTTGGAAAGCTCCCAGTAACAGGGACCCCATCCTGTAGGAACCAGCATGGCCTGAGTTGAGGGCTCAAGGCTTCTGTCACTCCATCTGGCAAGTAAGTGGCCCAGGGGCTCTGGGTTCACCCATGACTCAGAGAGGTGGTCAGGAGGGAGGAGGTGGCAGGAGAAAGCTGAGCTCAGAGTCTAGTGATCCAGGCTGCGGGACCAACCTGCCACCCACATGGCTGTTGGAACATCTGCTTTCTCATCCATGAAATGGGATCTCACCCTTGCCCAGCGTCACGGGATGAAAGGAGACTTTATACAAACTCCCCCCTAGAAACCATCAGGGTCGGAAGCTGCTCTCCCTACCCCAGGGGTGCAGTGACCACTGCAGTATTTCTCGGGGGTAGGCTGCCCCACCCGGGGTCCCCCATTCCTGTGATGGGAGGAACCAACTTAGGACTCAAGGGTACAGTAACTTGGGACACACCGGTCAGAACAGTTTAACATTTTACTAAATCAATTCACACAAATCCCAAATTGCAAATATAATTAAGGACAACAGATTCTGTTCTGCCTTTTAAATCTTTCATTTTTCAAATCCAACATTAAGACAAAAAGTAAACAAAAATTAAGTCTGCGGCAAATTCATGATTTTTCTTCTTGAGGGGAGGGAAAAAGGAACATTATAGTAAAAAGAACGCCACTGGGTGTACAATAAAGCACCACGACACACGGTTACAAAACGGGCTTCCTGCACTCTGCCCCACGCAGAAGACCCTGCTCTCCCCACTGCTCTGCGTCAGGCAGGATTCCATTAAAATAAAACTATAAAATCTCCTAGGTTACACTAAAGTCAGACACGGTCTGGAACAGTGCTTAACAACAATAATGTCAACTATCAGTGCTAACGTAAAGACATTTTAGAAGGTCAAAAACAATTAAACTGGAAACCAAAACCTTATTTTCCCTAGATGAGCAAAACTGGGGAAAAAAAAAATGAAAGGGTTCCCGCCTCCCACTAGGAGTGGAGGGGATTTTTTTTTTTTTCCTTTTCTTTTCTTTCTTTCAAATTGGAGGCGGGGGCATGGTGCGGGTTGGCCTGCAGTTCCTCAGCCTAGTTGGCGTCCAGCTTGGCCATTTCCTGCACATATATGCCTATACTCTCGCTGTCGAAAAGCACAAAATACACCGTCTTGATGGAGGAGGACATTGTGGACACGAAGTAACTGGAGATGGCCTTCAGGATCAGCTGAGCTGCCGTCTGCTTGGGAAAACCGTTCCTGTGAGAGAGAGAGCGAGGGCTCAGCAACTACAGGGGCCATGGAGGCCACGGGCCCACCCTCCCCCGCCACCTCCTCCCTCCAGGAGCCCCTCGCGCTCCCTGTGCTGAGGTGGCTGGAGCTGTGTCCGGGTTCACGAGCGGCCCTCAGCCTCTGGCTGCTCGGACACAGGTGTGAGCCCAGTGCCAGCAGGCAGGGGGAGGATGAGGCGGCAAACTGTGACCTGCAGGAGAGTATGCTGTGTGCTCCAACAGGGGGCGTGCCGTGAAGCTTTCTGAGAGGCAGTTAGCAAGGCGACAGGGTCTGTGTTTCGCGACGTGTGGGTGTGTACCGTCTCTTGTGGGCAGTGTGAACACTCATGGTTCTCTTCCCAACATCACTGGGACTAGCATGGGGCTTGAGATACAGCCCAGGCTCCCAAAGGCTCCCCGGGGGGCTCAGTCTCAGGGGTAATGGAGGCTGGAGCTTCTCCAGGAAGCTCCAGCCTCCGTCCTGTCCACGGTAGAGGGTTGCACCCTCCCCATGGGCCTTCAGATTTCATGGGTGCCGAGTATCCTCCTCCCAGCACGACCAGCTTGGACACCCCATCGGCCTGAGTGTCAGGGAGCTGTGTGAGGGAACAACTCTGGGACAAGTAGGCTCTTCATCCCAAGGGACAGCATCCAAGTCTCCAGGCCAAACTGATGTGAATTCACATACAATTCCATTTAAAGTAAACGTCACGTGACTCAGAACTCAGGCAAGAATCTGAAGGCAGGACTAACAGGATAAGCACTGTTTGCTCCGTGTGTGCCCAGGCCGTTCCTGGGCAACACTGCAGGTGTGGGACCCACAGGATCCAGGACTGTGGCACTAGGCTCAGTCTAAGGGAGATAACGTGGCCTTTGGAGCCAGTGGCCCTGGATTCATGCTCTTACTGACCCTAGTTTACAGTTCAGGATCCTGAGGGCAAGAGTGAGGGGCTGGAATCCACGGGGATTTCTTTGTTCATCTGCAGGTCTCCCGTCTCCCATCCGACCTGACCTTGGAGTCTGAAGTGTGGGGCCAACTTGCCAGTTTCAGTTGGGACTTTCCTTCGAATGGTGCACCTGCTGCCAGACGAGAGGCTTTCAGATGTCAGGTACAGGATTTCTCCCTGGCTCACTCGCTAAGTGCTGTGAAATGTGCACCACCGTAGCTTCTTTTGGAGGGTCACACTTACTCTATTGTCAGCACTCAGGGCCTTTCAGAGCCGAGGAGAAAACCATTCTTGCAACTTGCTTTTGATCAAACAAGGCTTCACTCAGCCTGATAATGGACCCCTACTAACTCCTGAATGCTTCAGAAGTGAAGTTCACTCTTAGATGACATGGGCATCACCCCAGGCCTGTTCCCAGTCTGTGCAGAGGAGCCTGCAGGCTGTAGTAGGTGCACCCCAGAGTTGGGGCTCCCTCACAGGTCCCCTGCACCGAGCACAGGGCATTCCTGCCAGGCAGCCAGCATACACGAGCCTGTGACCAGACCAGGGTCAGAAGCTGAGGGAGAGCTGCAGAGGTGTTCTGGCCAGGACGGTGCTCCGGACAGGCAGCTTCCGCATGAGGACCCCCTGGGGGTTCTGTGCACCCGCAGAGTTGGGCTGACTAACAGGTGGCCTGGGGTGGAGGGTGGTGGAAACGGTGCAGGAAGAGTTTCTCATCCCTACTCCCGGACCCGCAGGCTCAGCCTGGGAAGCTGCTGTTCTCACAAGCCTGGCTCAGCTGCCCTGACTCTCCTCACAGGAGTCAAGAAGCACAGAGGCCATGCTGCCCAGGACAAGACACTGGCTGGAAAGACTGCATGAAATAAAGCCGACCTTCTGTTTTGGCGCTTCTCTCTGGTGAGTGTGCTGTGGGGCACCCAGCTCACACCCTGGAGGGGCTATCCTTCCTTCCCCACCCCCCACTCTTGAAAGGGGGACCAGGCCCACTTTGGGGGCGAGTGTGCAGGCACAGGGTCCTAGGGTCACCCGAATAAAGGGCCCCCTTGAAGCATCTCACAAAGAGCAAATGTTTATTTTCCTGCTGTAAATACAGATGCTGTCCAGAGAACTCATCAATTAAAACGATCCCACTTGTTCTGATCCTGATGAGAAAAGCATGATGAGGCAGCTGCCGCTGGGCAGACAGGCAGGAGTGGGGTCGCGGGGCGGGGGCGGGTGGTGGCAGGACCACAGAGCTCCACCTACCGTTGGGGGTAGCCTACACTCAGGCCAGGAACTCCAGGGGCTTCTGACCAGGCAGAGCTGGGCCTGTACACACCACCTGGCTAGACAGGGGCTGGGCAGCACTGGGAGGTGTTGCCTCTGCACTGAAAGCCCAAGACCAGGCTCCACCAGCCCCAGACACCCCACTAACGATGCCCTCCTGGGCGTCCCTGCCTGCACCTGCACAGGTGAGCTGGGCTGAGGTGAGGGCCTCTGTTGTGTGGCCTGATGGTCACAGCTCACCTCCTTTGGCGTGTGCTCCATTGGAGCTGGCTCTGGGCACGGCTTTGTGAGCTGCCCTTGTGCCACTCTGAGGCTGCTCTGCCCGAGCCAGGGGAGATAGCGTGGTATAGAGACGTGGCGGGGCCTCACTGGGGCGCCCCCAGCAGGCCAGCCACTGCACCTGTGCCCAGCACTTTCTGACACAGACCTTCTCTCCCAGCTTCCCACTCCTCTGCCCTAGAGGATGTGTAACTCTGACTGAAGGGACATTAGTCCCTGTTCCTCTCAGTCAACAGTTCTCCACTTTAGCTTCTATTAGGATTACGGAGGGGTGGCCAACATACAGTCTCCTGGGCTCCAGCCAGGAAGTCTGATGAGGTGAGCCCAGGGACCATAGTCTGAGAGCCACTGTTCTACATGCAGTCAGGGTGGACTTAATCTGAGCTTGTAGGGTAGGCCCGGAGGTTAAGAACCTACAAGTGGGGAGAAAAGGAGGGGTCAAAGGTCATACAGCTGCAGTGCCCAGGCCTGTATGCCCCATGGTTAAGGGAGCACGGGCTAATCTGGCTTGTCCTGCAAGGTTGCTGTTGGGTGACTATCAATGTGATCTGTTTCCAGGAAACCTCTTGTGGACAAACCCAGCCCCATGTCCGAGGCAGTTACAGCCTGAAGAGGATACCTAGGCATGGGACTGTGGCAACTCTGGACCACACAGGCCACCGGGAAGGAATGGAGGCAGCAGCTTTCCTCGTGTCTTCAGGTAGGACCTCAAAATGATTTCTAGTAGGCACACTTAGAAGTATTTGTAACAGAATGGAATGTGTAAGTGGATGCTTTCACAGGCAGAGCCCTGCACCCTTAAGACAGGGGCAGCTGTGTGCACGCAGCAGCCTGGAGGCCCAGAGGACTTGAGTCTGGGCCCTGGCTCTGTGCCTTGTTTCCCCACTTGGTGAAATAAGGCAGGTAATCAAGTATTTATTACCTGGAGAGGCTGTGCACATTGAACAAGATACTACACAGAGCCCTCAATCAAGTGTCATCTATAAAGTGGGAACACAAAGTCTTTCTAAAGGTACACATGGTGGAAAGTGGCCTCCCAGGCCCTGTGACGGCTGGGACTGGGTGACTGCTGCTGTCTCTGCTGACAAAGTTGTAGTCGAGGCCCCCAGAGGGCCGCTGTCCAGGCCTGTGGTGTCCAGTTCTCTTGGAGGGCCATCAGCCATGACTGCTGTGGTGTGGGCTGGGGCTCTGTCGGCCCTCCTGGTGCAGCACCGGCTGGTCTGGAGAGAGGTGCTCACCTCTGTGTCTCACTCATCTCTTGGCTTATGGGCGGGCTGGCTGGGCTCCCTTGTGGGTGGAATAACTGCTGCCTCTGCTCGGCTGGGTCTTCCTCTCCAGTCACTCTGTTCTATGCCGCTGCACTGTGTCTGCCTCCTGGCTGAGACCAGTCGCCGCCGCCTCTAGAGCGAGGGCGGACACGGGCTCCCACTCCTGTCAGATTCTAGTCTGAATCGTGCTCTCTCAGCACAAGCTTCGTCCACTGGGATACAGGTGCGGCTTCCCCGAGAGCTGGGAGCCCCCACGTTCCCCTGTGGCCCTGACTCAGCCAGGTGTGCTTATGCTGTGTCTTAAGTTGCTTTGTGAGAAAGGGCTTCCCACCCCTCAGAGAGTTTATCTTACACTTTGACCTTTTTTTATTGCGTTGTTTTGACCAGACTAAGAAGGTGTCTGAGCTTCCCTCAAGTCACTCCAGTTGTGGCTGAGGCCTCAGTCTCCCTGACTGTTGCAAGTGGACCCCATGGGCTACCACCATGTGGTGCTCGCCGATGGCTAGGGGCTGTCTGTACACACCAGTTTCCTGTCCACTGTCCCATCTGGATGGCAGAGATTTGGGTTCATGTGGCACAGAAGAGGGTTTCCTGCCTCCAGCTGGGCTGAGCCCCTCTTCATTTAGGGCTTTGCCAGGCATCCCTGCTTCCAGTGAGCTTGGCCTCCAGGGCTGGGTAAGGCAGGCCTGCATGACTGGAGGCCAGGGGCAGTGCTGAGGAGGCTGACCAGGGACCCAGAGATTCCTGTGAGGAGAGGCTGTGGCTTGGGAGCTGGAGAACCCAGATGGATTTTCTGAAGGAGAAAGACGAGGCCCAAGCCTAAGAACAAAAGTGGCTTCTAGATGGACTCTGGTTTTCATATTGGACCAGGCCACCTAACTGTCTCGGCTGTTTGGAAGATGGATAGGGCAGGGTAGCTTGGGTGATGCGGGCAGAGTGTCTGTCGCCCCATGTGGACCCCGTCTGCTGGGTGTAGGTCTCCTTCACACTGTGCTCTGTCTGGCTTTGAATAACTCCAACCAGAGACAACTCTATCCAGAGGTAAAGACCAGGCGCTCAGGGTCCGAGCTGAGAGCGGTGGGTTACAAGAGAGTGAAGCTAAAATTCAGAAGGCATTGGCATCCAACACAGTGCCTCCAAAGCCAAAGAAAGGCCAGGGCAACACAACCCCCCTGAGGCCTCCTACCTTCTCTCCAGGGCTCATGTAAGTAATTCTCCCCAATAGAGTTTGTCTCTGCTCTTTGTATTTGTCTTCTAAGGCTCATGCCCAGGGAGCAGGGAGGCTGATGCTGTGCCTGGGCAGGTCAGGGAATTCCGAGCAGCGTTTCCAAGGTTCTCTAAAATCTACTCCCACAGAGAGTGCACAAGGAGTGGTGTGATCCTCTGGCAAGGCTGACCAGAGGGGACAGCAGGCGGGGGTTCCATGTGCCTAATATCAAGAGCACTGGAGCCAAGGGCCTCGGACGAAAAGCTGGCTCTACAAGTAGGTGCTGTGTGACCTCTGGTGAGTGACTTAACCGCTCTAAGCTTCCCCTTCTTTGCCTTTGAGTGGAATGAACAGTGCTGCTCACCTTGTGGGATTGCTGTGAGGATACTGCAGATAGAAGGTTTAGCACCACTCCTGAAACTCAATGAACAGCCATAAATGGTAGTTTGAAGAAAACAAACTGGCTTTCCTTTTTAGGCTCATAAATCTAAGGAGAGTTTAATCAAAGCCCCACACTAGCTATTCCCCAAGTACTGCCCCTCCGGAGAGGGGTCGTCCCCTAATGTCAAACAGAGCGGAGGGAGTGGGGGGATCCATAAATACTGTGAGCAGGATGCCCAAGGATGGGAGGGCCAGAGGCGGTTTCCCAAGCCTGGGGTTACACTGTGGGGGTCTCATTTGTCTTCGGTGGGCTCTAGGAAGGCAGTGCAGGGCTGTGGTCATCCTCCACACGCCTGTGACACTGGGCCTTGGCTGAGAGAAAGTGATCCCACAGCCCTTCACCAACATGTTTGCATTTATATTGTTTTAATTCCAGCATGACTTTTATGCTGGAGACACTGGATGCCACAAACAAGCTGTTTTATTTCCCCTCCTAAACCCCACTGTGATTTACTGGCCGGCTCTTGTGTAATCCCATTCTCTGCTCATGAAAGGGAGGGCAGCTGTTTACATGGCTCTGTGGGGCGAGGTCTGCCCCACAGATGTGGGGCCGGGCGGCAATGCACATGTGCTTGTCTTTGGCATTCTGCCCTCTTAAAAGCTTTCAACTGATTATTTTTTAAAACATTTTACTCCGTGAAAAATGTAAATAAGTTTGTAATAACAGATGCTCTTTTTATGGGCATGACTTTTATGCTTCAATTAAAAATTTCCCAATAGTCATATGAAAGAGCGTGAAATAATTACCTCCAATAAAGACTCCTCTATTGCTTCTCTCCTCGGAAGCACCTTTCATCAGAGTAGATCAAAGTGCATCCGAAATGCTAATTAACTGTGCCTTAGAACCGTCTGTGAGGAAGGGCAGTCCCTTAGCCTCACTAGCTGATAAGGCCGGCCAGGGTCAGAGAGGGTGATTCATTTCCCAAAGGTCACACAGCAGAGCCATGCCACAGAATAGAATTTCTGTCGGAGGATGGGAAAGTGAGAGAAGCAGGAAACTAGCTAATTTTATGCTCAGATCCAAGAGCACGTTATTTAAAAAAAAAAACAAAAAACACCTTGACTCTGGGACCGAGTAGGGTCAGTCCCTACTCACATCTCCACAGTTCCTGGGGAAATTCGGTCTGCTGGGTGCTTGCTGACTATCTTATGAAGGGTGCGTGTCTTTGCCAGGTGCTCTTAGAACCAACTGAAAGGGCTGTTAGATGCTCTAGCTCTGTCAGCTTTGCTTTCTTCTCAATATGCATTTACATGGTATTGACTTTTAAAATGATGGTCAAGTTTTGCTTCTGGCAGAAAATAGAATGAAGATGCATGGCAACTAGAAAGACAGACAGCATTCCAAAACAACAGTGGTGTTGGTTCTGGACTTACCTGCACTTGGAGGTGAAGGGGCTAGAACACAGGGCAGGGTGAGCATGGGAACTCCAGGCTGGGGCGGTGTGCACTTTCACTTGTCCTTTGTTCAGGGTCCCTCCCCCCCACACACCAGCTCCGCTGGTAAGCCCCAGAAGAGAGCCCACTTCCACAGTGGGGCCCTTGTGCCCCCTCCCACTGCCCAGAAGTGCAGAGCCTGAGAGAGGAGGCGTGGCACCCATAGCTCATCTTCAGGAGGGGCAGCAGGGGGATGCTCCTTCTGTCCTTGCTGGAGGGGGACGGAGAGAGGCTTCAGAGGAAGAGTTTTCCCGTATCAGCTCCTCTGGTGTGACCACCATGACCCCTCAGAAGCCCTGGTGCATGGTGCCTGTCTGCCTACAGGCAAGGCCTTCTGGGTATAACAGCTAAGCTCTGCTTGAGCAGAAGTCCCAGGACCGGCCGCAGCACTTAGGCTGTGGGACCCTCAGTGATGGCACTGTTCAGGGAAGCAGCATTACAAGGTCTGCACAAGGCTAAAAACAGCAAAGTCCACTCTCTGTCCTTGTGGGTTTGAAAGGGGAGTCCTTTGAAAAGAGCAGCTTTCTGTATGCACAAGGAATGGTTCTGGCCCAGGAGGACAATGTAGCTGGCCGTGTCATAGGACATCAGTGTGCTGGATCCATGCGGTACTGCACAGCCCACCTTCCTCAGGTACTGGGAAGCATTGATGGCAGAGACCCTGCAAGGCTCTCCATGTGCGCAGGATGCCCCAGGGACAGCTACCTGCCGACACAGTGCCCTGGGCTGCAGCAGCTCTGAAGGCCACTTTCCACTTGCTACTGTGCCCTGTTCAGAGAGTGAGGCTTCTAGAGGCCTGAGGCTCAGACCCTGGGGAGGGAGGAGCCTAGAGATGTGACGGGCAGTGAGACACAGCCTCAGAGGCAGCCATCCCATCTTCTTCATGGCAGAGTTCTCAAAGCATGCTCTTTTCAGAGAGCACCTTAATGTCTGAGCAGTCCCGAGATGCTGTGTCGGGGTAGGGGGGGACGATCACGTTTCTTTTACAGGGTAGGGGGTTAGAGCCAGAGTGGGGGGTTCGTTTGCCTGCTATCACTCGCCTGGTTAGCCAGGCCCAAGTCTGAGCACAGTGCTGCTGACAGGCAGGGACCTTGTGGGCTGTGTGCTGACATCTGGGGTGTACCACTGTGGGCGTGGGGGGTTTGTGGTTGGGGTTTGAAGCTGAGTCCTACCTGCCCCGTTAGAGGTTCAACAACTACACCCTTCCAGGGCTGCCCCTCTGGGTTGTGTGTCTGTCTTAGGGGCAGTTGTACTGCTCCCCACAATCTCTGTAAGTCTCCCTGGGGAGATGTCAGGGCTGGGAAAAGGGGGCAGTCCTGTTTCACGTACCTTCCCACTCAGATCTACCTCATGTGCAGGGCAGTGAGACACAGGTAGAGAGGGGGGTGGAGAACGCTTGGGAATCCACAGGCAAGGGGCAGAGGGCTTTGCCCAGAGAGCGCTGGATGCAGCCTCAGCTGACCATGTGCACACAGCTCTCTGCAAGCGTGGCCCACACACACCAGGGAGAGAGCCACATGCCCTTACCTGCCGCTACCGATGGATGGAAAGGCAATGGACTTCAGCTTCTTGTCATCTGCCAGCGCCAAGCAGTTCTTCACCGTCTTTTCCAGAAGTTCCTCACACTTGTCTGCACCCCAGACGGGACTGTTACAGTGGATCACAAACTTGGCGGGCAGGCCATGGCCTGCGCTGACAGCAGCTGCAGGGGACGCGATGGGAGCAGTGAGTGGGGTTCCCACACAAAGCACAAGGACCACTCTCCAGCACATCCCTCCAGACTGCCTGGTCCCAGAGTCTCCTCCCTCGGTAAGGGGGACACCCACCCCCACCCCCGGGAAGTTGGCGTTAGGATGAATCACCACCAGGAACTTTAGCCAAGGTCACAAGGCAGGGCCTTAACCATCTAACTTGACCAAATGTGTCAGAATGTTTGTAGCCTCCAATTAATTGCCTTCTGGGGTCTCCAACTGCCTTTTCCTCAAGTGGATTCATGTGCATTTAATTATGATGTATCTATAAATCTCTCAGACACAGTTCAGAATAAACCTATTGGGAAAGTAATCTAAATAGCATGTCTGCTGCTCTAGTCTTCTCCCTGACTAACCCATCCTGCTAGTTTTGACAGAATTAATTGGACGGTGTTTCTAGGACGCAACTATTTTCCATCTTACTCTTTTCCTCTCTTAGAAGAAGCCTCTTTCCAGCTAAAGATCTCTAGAGCAGACCTGCCTTTCCAGGAGTGTTCTCACTCTCCGCCCTGGGTCAGATCTAAAGACAATGGTCTTGGGTCTGCTCCCACCAGGATATGTGACAGGTCAGCCCATGGCTCCCAGAGCATGTTCTAGGATTCCCATCCCAAAAGCTGCAGCGCAAAGAAGGTGGTTCTAGAACCAAGGTGTCTGATGAATGCTGCCTGCCAGATTTCTGTACTGGAGCACACTCACGTAACCACCCACTGTTCCACTAAGACACCCAAACCTTTTTAATCAAATGTTCCCTAAACCCAGTTTGTGAAGAACACCCAAGTGCTATCCAGGGGTCTTGGTGGTTACTGGGTCTGCTATGTGACTAGCAGAATCCGAAGGGGGTTTGTGAGAAGTGTCTCATGGTGCAGCAAACAACAGTCTGAACCCAAAGTCACAGGTCTGACTTTGAGTCCTGGCTCTGCTGACTGGTTCAAAAACTGCGGGCTTGACTGACACTGAGGGACCTAATTCACAGGTCTGCCCACATGAGAAGTAACTGCTAAACCATGCTTGGAAACGACAAAACCTGTGTTAGCAGTGATTATCTATTTCCTTCATATTTAAAAATATTTTAAAACATTTTCTAAAATCTTAGAATAAAGAACAAAATGTGTTCTTGTTTTTGAAACAAGCAAACGTACCTTTAGTTGTGCTAAGTCTAATGGGTTGGCACCAGCTGTGGCTCCTCTGTCGCCAGCTAAGATGGTGTGTGGCAGCATCAGGGCCCCCTCTCATCACACCTCCCGCTGAGGGCCACCCAAACCGGCTTGAACTGAAGCACCAATGGGAAGGACGCCGGGCTGGCACAGAGAGTGCCAGGCGGGGGCTGAGGAAAGGCCAGGAGGCCCTGGCTGGGTGCTTTATGCTGCGTGTGTCTTCCCTGTTCAGTGTGGGCAGTTTCAAGGGCAACTGCCTCCAAGAGCTCGGTAACTGTGCCCCCACAAACTCTCCGCAGTGTCTTGCCCTTTGTAGGCAAAACAGAACTGAACTGGCTGAGCAGAGGTCAAATGCAAAGCCATCCTTTTATCCTCGCTGGGACCCATGACTAGCCTAGGATGAGAGGTCACGTGCAGGCACTGGGGAAGGAAGCGTAAGGCCTGGGGGACCCTCAGAGAAGGCTGTGTGGGTGTGACCTAGGAACCATTGATGCCCATATTTAATTAAGATTCATTTTAAAAATCATAAATAGGATGTGGAATGGGCATTGGGGAACCATCTAGTAGGAAGAGGAAACGAGCCCAGAGAGAAAGGAAGCTGTTCTCACACAGCTGGGGGGTGAGCCAGCCTTGCCCCCGTCCTGACTCTCAGGTGCTCGGGAAACCCTGTGTCCACCTAAAATCCCCCGGTCCAGGCTGGCAGCCCTGAGTAGTGGCCTGCCTTGAGTTCTCAGCAGTAACTCTCCTCATCTCACACTTCATTTTCTTACCCCTCTTATCAGGAACGGTGTAACTGGCAAATGACAGATGTATATTTGTATTTCTCCCATTAAAAACACAGACGGCTGAATGGGAATGATTCATTTGCATCTCTCATCAGCAATTTTGCAGATGGCTCAGTATCACTGTAATTCTCGGCTCTCAGATTTGCCAAGTTTGGCTTCTGTAACTGCTTAAAATTTGAGGGCTAGACACCAACCATTTAGAAGCTATTTTAAGTAATAAGGAAAAAAGTTTAGAAAGGCAATTTTCACAACCCCTAATTCCCCTGACAATTAGCATGTGATAAAAAGTCTACCAGGCTTTCTTCTGCCCTCATCTCAGAGACACCCATACACCTCTGAATTCTAATCTGTACTATAAAATGGTTTCCATGATACAGCATGTACCATTTCCAGATCGTCAGGGTGCTGCCCCTCCTTACCTCCAGCTACTTCCAAGGGCCCGTTCTTTTTCCGGAGTTCCAGGACAGCTTCCACAAACTCCTTGCCACCTTTCTTCTCTAGTGTGTTTCCTAGACAAGAACAGGGCGAGGTCAGATCGCCATCCCTGGGTCCCAGGGCACACACAGACACTTAGCATGTCAGATGATTACGTACTAAAAATGATCTGACCAGCTAAATTTCCAGGCAGCTGCAAGATAGGAACAAAGCTGTGGCTGAGTCAGAAAAGTGAAATTTAGAAGAGATTCACTATCGGCCAGTCACCACTCTGCACAGCTGGTCACCGGGCCACCTTTGCTGCCCTTCTATGTGGGGGTGACTTGGGGTGATCCTGGACTTGCCAGAGATGTGGAGGAGACGCCTGTTCTCTGCAAGCATGCCTGTCTCGCATGCTTTCCATCAGCGTGAGAAACCAGATGGTGCTGGCTTCCAAGGCTGATGCCTCCCCCTGGATTTTCTTCTCTGTCTCTGGGGAGAACCCCCAAATAAGGAGGTTTTAGAAGAAGCATACCAGGCTTCCATCAGGCAGCTAGCTCTCCTCTTGGCAGCAGGCCCAGAAGAAAGCATTCAGATTTGGCCACCTTTGGACTAGCACTACTACCAATGCTTAGTTTCTATTTTGCAGCTTTGGTGTCATATGTGAATTAAAAAAAAAAAAAAATGGCCTCAGACAATATTTCCTTAATCACACTAATGATTCAGAATTGTTTTAGGTAGAGGAGGGCAACATCAGAAACAGAGCTTAAAGATGACCTTATATCAAAGCTTGGAAAGAAGGATGTCTGTTCAGGACCAGGTTTTAAAAATCAAATGGGATTTTGGGAGCACTACTTCTTAAATTAGGGTACTT